ATACAGAACAGTAGGACATCTAACTACATATTTCATTAGACCATTGAACGTATTTCACTAAATTAGCCCAGTAAACAAAATCTACTTTTAAATTAGTAGGCTAAGTAAAACTTCAATGCCGTTTATAGCCCTATACAGAACAGTAGGACAGTGTTTAACAGTGATTTGTCAGTGAATGAGGTGTTTGACAGAGATATAAACTGTGCCAGGGTTGTGTTGTGATATACATCAAGTATATAGATTGTGTAGGAGGACCACTGATACAAGACAGAGATAAAATAGTAATATTTTTACACAGAGATACTTCATTGACTATATCTTGTTGATTTTGGCTGGTAGAGAGAAAACTATGGGTAGTTTTGGCTATGTATCCTGAATCAATTTCTGCCCGAACTTGAAAGAGGAAGGAAGGGGGGGGGGGGGGATTAGCTCCAAAATATCAAGAATTATTCACAAATCATGTCACTGACACTGAGTTCACGATTCAATAGTTGAAATATATCGATCTTTGATCTTTTGAATTGTTATTTGGATCGGGTTGGATTGTTTTCTCTTTGTTATTTTTTATTGTATGTTGCCTCCGTATCGTTTAGATATTTCGACTTATTACTAGCTGATTTAGAATTGGAAAAGTATAACGTATACCAGTGTTCTCAAAATATAAATGTTATGTTTGTAACGATTTATGATATTGTCGGGTTGTGATTTATTCTGTTAAAACGATCACCATGAAGCTATAAAATATAAAAACAGTAATAGACAATACTCTATTGGGTGATTAGAGGGTTAATGTCTATTTGAGTAGAGATAATATACAAACACTGAAATAAAACCACTTGTTTAGTTTATATACAGATTGTAAAATATCACTGTTAGTAGATATTACTTCTGGTACCTTAGTTGACATACTTTAAATAAAGAGGAACTGAAAAGTTTGCCGGATAATAAATAGATAATAGTTGCTTTACGTTTGTTTTCCATTCACTAAAATTCGAAATCAGACTGGTATTCCCGTTGATACACATAAAATCAGAGGAAAAGATTTTTTTAGGCTAATAGCTAGGCACTGGTCGCTTTACGGTTTTATCCATTCAGACTGAGTCGAAATCAGACCAAACAGAGTTTTGACATGATTTATATCTTACAGAACTTCGTACAGAGCCACAAATTTATCTGGAAGTTCGATTGACACTCGAAATAAAGACTAGAGATACATTCCGAGGTAAACACCCGCATTTATCAAATGTTAAAACAATTTCACCATCTGTTTGATAAGTCTAAAAACACAGCTATGTAAATTGTGTCAATACATATTTTTGGCCCAGAATAATGCGTTTTTCTGTAAAATCATTTACAGACACAGTTTAAAAGAGAAGTGAACTGTTTTTTTTTTATGTAATATCAGGGTAATGTGGAAACTCTCATTAATCTGATCATTATGTTTGTACTTAAAACTGGAAATATGTGGGCCCTAGTCTGCTTTGAAATAGCTATTTATTATATATATAATTTATTAATCATTAATAGAGATAGGTAATATAGGCTAAGCCTCAATCCTTTTCATAATGTATATCTTTGAAAATATTTGTGAATAAAATATAAATTTTGTTCACTATTTCACACAGCGAGAGTCCTGTATTATCATTCTCATTGTCGAATATTTGAATGATGCCACGCTGCAGTCAGGGATTTTCAACTTAACAGTCTTTTCAAAGAGTTCACTACCAAATTAATAACTTTATGATGGTGATATAGAAATAGAATGAAAATCTACCTATATCTTAGCGTTCTAGATGAACTTTGCCATAACTTCTAGATTCCCCACTGATACACCATAATATAGGTCATCTTTTAATCTTAAAACAATAATCCAACTCCAGTCAAACTCTATGTTTTTATTATAACAGATTGTTCTCTCTGACACCCTCCCACGTTTCCTTCCGCCTTCATAGAGTGCAAACAGGTAGGACGTAAAACTCCTTTTATCTCGCATGTAGCCATGTAGCCATTGTCATTTCATCATCGCTCAGTAAATAAATGATAGTTGACAGAACGATACATTGGGGCTGTCAGTATCAGAAAATTCCGAGTAGAAAAGAGACAAAGAATACATTAGGTTACCATGTTTCAAAAACCTAAACATACTGTAACAGAGGGGCTATCAGTGTAAGAAAATTGTCTGATCAGATTTAACTTCAGAACAAACCAACATCTCACTCCAGCTGCACGACATTGTCAGAACATTATAACAAAACGACAACAATAATATCAATTTCAAATTTCCTAAAAACTTCTTTGTAGTGTGAGGATATTGAAGCCGACCCCAGGTGATGTAAAAGATATAAGATGTGAATATTTAAACAATATCTACATTATGATACAGCTCTGTATTGTCTGAAATGCCAAACTCTCAGAATCAACACCCAACTGTGAAAAAAACAAAGTTTGAAATCTAAACAAGTTCTATCTGGTTAGAAGATATTATAATTTATAAACTAGAACTGGAGTGGGTGGGTAATAAATATATTATAACTTTTCACTTTCACATTCAATAAGGTTTTAGACCTGGACTCAAAGGTAATAAGCAGTTAAATCCGTCCACTGGGCCAGAGTCATTTTCTGGCTACGGATCATATCTGACTACGGATCATATAATATCTGACTACGGATAATATCTGACTATGGATTATATCTCACTACGAATCATATTTAACTATGGATCATATCTGACTATGGATCACATCTGACTACGGATCATATCTGACTATGGATAATATCTGACTACGGATCATATCTGACTATGGATCATATCTGACGACGGATCATATCTGACTATAGATCATATCTGACGACGGATCATATCTGACTATGGATCATATCTGACTACGGATCATATCTGACTATGGATCATATCTGACTACGGATCATATCTGACTATGGATCATATCTGACTATGGATCATATCTGACTATGGATCATATCTGACTACGGATCATATCTGACTATGGATCATATCTGACTACGGATCATATCTGACTACGGATCATATCTGACTATGGATCATATCTGACTGCGGATCATATCTGACTGCGGATGTGAAGGGTTTGTTAGTTATACCTCGGAGATATTCAAGATAACTTGACAGCCTAAAGAACACCTATTGCTTTTAAAATAAACCAAAATCAAATTATACAACTTCCATCATTGAGACAAACACTTGGATCGTTTTGTTACACCATCATGAAAGGTGTTCTAGCTTACAACTTGGAGATGATTACTAATCGATCAGAAATATTTAAAATAACTGATCTCAAATCTTGTCCCTCTGTCTCGAAACCAATTGCTTGATGTCCCCTGGTTCTACCGATGTTATTGTTCCGGCAATCAAGTCTGAGTTTTACATTTCATCTTTACTGGCAGTGGTTGAAGTAGATCAGTGAGGGCCCGTGGACGTGGTCCAGCCAGTCCCTATTGAAGTGGAGTTTAGTAGTTTTACTAATGTTATTGTTCTCTACAACCAACTGAGATTAAAGACGGAATTAACTGTTGAACATAGAATGAAGAGAATGAAGGAATGTCTGAAGAATGGTGGAGTAAACTCAAACCAGGTTTTATACTCTATGGGGATCTAACTTTGTATCTATTGTATCTTCATCTTGACTTATATTTTATATGTCAGATATTGTATCATTTTCTATTGTTGGTAGATAACCAGGTCATGTCAAAATTCTCTTATTGAAGAGGAAGAGTAGGAGGGGGCTAATTCCTTAGTTCTTAAAATAAATACACACTTACTCCAACGTACAAACTCAGCCAAACGTATACAGGTTATGTGCATGAGAAGGTGAGGTGAAAAGACAAATCGGGAGAGGGGGGGGGGGGGGGGGGTGGAGGTAATCCTTTGACTATGATAAAAATGTCCCTTCTATACACCAACCCTCTCCACACATTCTTTCAAACCGTTTTGGAATCAGATTAAAAAGCTTAAAGAAAGGAGTAAATATTGGAAGATACAGAAGCAACCTCCACCCTCTTCTTGCCCCCACTCACACGCTATACAAATACAGCCTCATCTCCTGTCATCGTAGAGAACATTTAAACAGTCCTAGAAATCAATCACACGTCACAGTGCATGTTTATTCTCATTAAAATACTTCCCAGAACAACGCCCACAAAACCTCTTCATTATTGAATTGTTAAGTAAATAACAAACATCTTAAAACAGAAAAGATTCATGAAGTTTTTTCTCCACCAATTTGAAACGGAATGAAATAAACAGGAGAACTCTGATTATGCCATTTAGAGTTCCATTTAAATGCCAATATTCTCAATCTGCAGGTACCATTAATGTCATTAAAAGTGAGTAGGAAATGCCAGAAACAGCATCGTGCCATCTCGTATTCTGAAATCATTATGTATTGTTATGTTTAGAAGCTTTATTTTGGCACTCGATCGTGCACTAGCACGTGTGTTTAAAAGAGCATGTTTATTGTGCACCGAGTTTGGCTGGGATGCGAGAACGGAGTTGATTGGTTGTATTGATAACTATTATTATTTCCTGAGTCTGAGTTAAGAATTTCCCTTGCAGCGGCTAGAAGCTATTTACAATATTGAGAGAGAGCTAGATCATTCGGTTCATGAGGGGCTTGAAAATGTGGGAACTTCTCGTATATTCTCGATTGATCAGATACCTTCAAACGTGAAATGTGCTGGAATTTCATTCTGTCATTTAGCGCTAACTGTGGCTTAAAAATGGGGGAACCCCTTGGCGATTCCAAGTATATAATGGTTAACAGAATCTGCAATGTAAACATTACCCTTTTCAGATACCATTGAGGAGGCTCTCAACAATACCCAAAAAAAGCCAAAAAGACGTTAGACTACCTTTTTAAATATTGAACACAATCTGTATTGTTAGTCTTCAGATGACATACTGACATTACAGCGGAAAGCGGAAACCCCTTAAGGCCTACCGAAAAAACCCAAAAATGTTAGCTTACCTTCTAAATATTGAACACAATCTGAATTATTATGATACATATTAGGATAGTTGGGACTGTAGAATTCCATCTTCTTCCAGTTTCCGTGGGTAAAATTCCAGCAGTTGATAGGAATAACATCGTGGATCATTGGAGGAGGTCGGACTGTTAGGGATGCTGGACGACGACCTGGAATAGAAAAGGACAATTGTTGATTATACAAGAAAAAGTAACGATAACGTGCAAACAGTAGGTAAAAAGTCGATACAATTAGTGTAAATGTGGCTACGTTTCGGGACGTATCTCTTTATCAAGCGAAAAAAACAAAAATCAAAAGTGGATGAGAAAGGTGCTATCTCTAGAAGAACAACACTAATCTTAACAACTTGTTTTTACGCTCTATACGATTCTCTGTATGTAATTTGAAACGTTGCTAAGGGAAGGAACAATATATTCATTATAGTGTTTGTTGTTATTTATCTCTATATACAGATGGTAGTTGAAATCAAGCTCTATCAGCTGGTAAAGCATTATAAGAACAACTAAATAGGAAGCTTAAATTGAGCTTTATCAGCTAGAAAGGCTTATATACAGATAGCTGAAATTGATCTCTATCAACTAGTAAAGTAAATATCTCGACTTTTATATCGCTATAAAATGATGTTATTTTTTCATGAATCAGAAAGAACAGAATGCCATCAATCTACCTTCCTCAATAATATACGAGTAATATATCTACCCTCCCTTCCTAAAATATCATACATTATTATGATTTATCACTATATACAACAATGCTTTTAGCATACTTTAGTAATGACAAATTGGCAACAAAAACACGTATATTCTCAATCATTCTTAGTCACGAACCAATTTGTCTCTATTAGATGACCACAATTAATGCCAGTTGCCACCACATTTTATCAGAACCAAGATAATTTATTGAAAAATTTACATTTTACATGTGATCTCTCCAAAATAATCAAACCTCAGAGCAACAAATAAAGAGATCCGTCTCAAATTGTGACACATGTTCCTAAAAAGTCTTGTAGTCAACTTTTTCTGTGGTCAGAATGAGACTAGAGTATACTAAACTATCGTAACTAACTAGCTAGTAGATTGTTTGGTACTACAGTGTATATCAGTTTTCTGTGGTCAGAATGAAACAAGCCTCAATTCAAAACAAGTCAATTAAAAACGGATTTTGCAATTTCAATGGCAAGATTATACTGATAACCAAAGTAAGAAATTTGTGAGTTACAAAGTTTTAATTTCGGACTATGCAAATTTAACAGACAGACTCCGTTTTGCTCTTTGTTATTTCCAATATAAGTTCTAAATAGGATAAGTTTTTATCAGTAAACATGCAATTGGTATTTCCTGAATCTAAATCAATTCAAGATGTTTATTATTTAACACTGATGTGTGCTGTTGTTTCACGCACCTGCCTGTGCACGTTACATGTATTGTTATGAAGGGAAAGATGGCTGCACGCGATGGTGTATGTATACACGCTAACAGATGTACACAAACAGTAGAAATACGTGGCGAGTTGAATCAGCAAATTAACTTCCTGTTCCAACTCATTTAAAACTTCTGCTACATAATATAACTTTCTAGGCGTTTCATGTCTGTTGTCAGAGTTGAATTTTCAAAGACACAGCAAAGCAGTTGTAACTTAAACATAGAGAAAATGGACGATCCAATGAGTTCACACCTTTTTCCTGTTTCAACTCTCTGTAGACTTCTGCTACATGATAAATATGGCGTTTCAATTCTATAATGTCCATGGCAGAATTGCAATGTTTTCTAAGACATAGCAAAGAGTGTCAGTCTCTAAAATGTGTAGTTTGAAGGGTCGTCGACACGAAGCAGCCCCACAAACGCTTGTAATTTTCCCTTTCACTTAAGACACCTGGGTAGAGTAGGGTGAAGGCACGGAACAAGCCGGGAAAGCCACTGGGGTGGGAGTTATTGATCAGAGTTAAGTCTGTACATAGTATATAGTAAGGCGTTCAACTTTCACTAAAACCTCAAGATCTGAATACTAATAGATACACCATTAAAACAGTGCTACAACCAGTGTCTAATAGATCTATATATTGGAGAGCTATATCTATAGATATATTGTATATAGGAATACTCCAGTAGTTTAGGACATTGGCTCAACCGCAAGATCTGAATACTAATAGATACACCATTAAAACAGTGCTACAACCAGTGTCTAATAGATGTATATATTGGAGAGCTATATCTATAGATATATTGTATATAGGAATACTCCAGTAGTTTAGGACATTGGCTCAACCACAAGATCTGAATACTAATAGAACAGTGCTACAACTGATTATAAGTAGAATACAGTGTTTACTATTTTACTACCATAAACTAAAACTGTCCAAACACAATCACGCTCCATTAACACTTTATCTTCCAAACTATAAAATGGACGTTTTCTGTCAAACTTTAACCCTGATAGTACCACTTGGTAGATAATGTATGTTTTCATACTTCCAGTATTCGGTGAGTTTAATCTACCCAATTCCGAGGCCTGGACTGCGCGTTTTTGTAAAATTAAACGGATGTATAGTCTTTTTGGCAGTGTTTTATTTGATATGGTAAGGGAGTTAACATAGTGACTGCAATTAAGTTCCTAATTTATTTTGGTTAATTAACATGCTCAGCCTGCAACAAACGGGTATGCTACTTCAAGTGAATGAAAACATTTTAAGAAGGGAAATGAACACAATAGAAAACATGTATATACCTTAGTGATTGAGCTAAGGTTTTGGCCAATACCCAGTTATAACTGAAATGACAAGAAGCAATAGATTTTGATCTAAAAGAGACCAACTTCATTGGGCGAAGGGCGATGGTACTGTTCGTATCAAAACCCAATCAGTACAACTCAAGCAGGAGGCAGGAATTTTTGTGTTTAAAGTAAATTCGAACCCATAACACCTACCAACTACTAAAACCTGAATTAATCAGATAAACTGGAAGAGTCAGAAGGTAATTCAAACCATCCCTACTCTAACAGACAGTTAACTAAAAACCTCTCAAAACATCTTGACTCTGTTTAATTTGATAGTCAAGGAGAGAAAACAAATGGTTAAGAAATTATTTACAAAGAAAACGTTTTCTTTCTACAGTTTATCTGTTTTACTGTATGTTGACCAGCCATCGACTCCGAACGACCAACAGTCTTCAAATTAGCAATGTGCTATAATTTAATTAAATATATGTAATGTACAGAATAGTCGTGATGAAGAGTTGGAAATAAGGCTGACAGTGTCCTCCAAATAACGGGGTTTAGTTTTCGAAGTAGCGAGGAAAAGTTTAAAATTAAGAAAATGGTGATGAAAATCAGACTGTTTGTAAAACAAGTAAAAACACAATTCAAAGGAGTTCACTACTTTACAACCTTTACTCCCGATTTGCCATTCTTTGGACGAGACTTTTCATATTACTGATATTACTGATATTACTGATATTAAGAAAAACACATAGGGATAAAAGATGTCGTCAAAAGTTTTGTTTATATGATGATGAGACACACTTTACTTTATAATGTCAAGTCTGCGAGTGTCGAGTTAAAAACAAATGTTGTAGAGAAGAGTAATTCTATCTGAGATCTCGGACTACCCACAGCTCTGTACACCAGTTGAACTCTTATTATTAGATAATAGTTTGAACTCGAGTTATATTTTATAAGAAAATATCAGGTCTAGTAACTGTAGATAATACTGAATGTTACTCGGGTGTAAACCATTTTGTCATTTATAATATATTTTTATATATATTTCTAGGCAGGTGCTTGTTTTAATATCAGAATCTGGCAGAATATCCCAGTCGTAATAATAGTATATATATATGGATCTGATTTGATTGTATTAGGACTGATGCGTGTAAAAGGGACTCAATTCCACTTTGCGACTGGCAGGATCCAAGAGCAACTGGATTTGCAACTACTGAAGGCAACTGGCGACATCTGGTAGAATCGGATCAATGATGAAGACAACCTAGTCAGAACAACGACTAATAATCACAGTCGCCATCCGTTACCCAGGTTGCATTTTTGGCAAAAAATGGATCTTGGCCTAACGGAATCCTCGTTGATCACAGTTGCTAGAGTTCATTATTTCATACATTGACACTGAATTGTTCCTGCTAGTCTTTTATCATCTATCATTTAACCCCTGTGATTAGTTCAGATCAGTTCAGATCATTACACGACAGAAGCAGTGACTATTTTAGCTGATTTGTTTGGTCAGGTATAAATTGATCTGGTTGTATAGCTCATGATGCTGATCTCTACAAAAGTGGCATGTGTCGCGCGTAAAGCAAACCATGCTTACTCTTTTCAAAACACCTGGTGGTACTTCTCTTTTTGAGTAGTCCACTACTATACTACCTTTACTCCCGATTTTGATTAACGGAATTGTCTTGCTTTATAGCTATTGTTTTTCACTTAGTAAAATAGATACTGGTTATCAGCTCCAAAGTTGCAATTTGTTCAAAAGCTAGTTTAAGCTCCAACACAATCTGTAAGCTTCGGGCTCATGGGACCACACCAGCTTCATAGCATCAGGGAAAACAGTTTAATGACAAAACGAAGTGAAGAAGTTATATTTATTTATCGACCTGCCATCTAATGGAGCTTTATTATTATTCCATCGTTTTATAGATACCACGTGTCTCAATCAAACCTCTCCAGTCCGTTTAATTTCTTAATTCTCTTGGCATCGTCTTATATTGAATCTGCCTATCATTAACAGTTTTTACAAAGACGTAAACATTGACACGTGCATTTCATGTGCATAAATAATTTAAATTGAATAGAATGGTGATTATATAGAATATAATACGTTTTCAAGGCTCCGATATCGTTAATAGACAATGACTCCAATGACATGGAATACATAGATAGAATTAGGAAGACATTCCTAGTTTGAGGTACTTTCGAAGGAATTATGACTGTGATTTTCGTACATTTCAAGTATGTTTGAAGACTATTTACACCCGAACACTCGAAAATGGCGAATCTGTCCCTTCAAAGAGATTTTTTTTATCAAAATTTATTTCTACAAGAAT